GGGGGGGGGGGGGGGAGTGGCTCGATGACAGCCAAGAAGCATCCATGAAGTCCGTCTTGCACATGATCTTTACCGTATCATGCAAGGAGTTGAAGAGCAAGACGCCCAACATGAAGTAAAGGATGACATAATAATGCAATGGCTGCTTCAACCATTTTGGCAGCTTCTTTGGCAGACCCATCCCTTGCAGCCAGCTGGGAAGCTCGAACCAATCCACGAAGTTGCTGTTCTTCACCACGAGTCGCCACGACCCTATCAACAGCAAAGACAAGAAGAGAACTTTTGCCTGGTAGACCATGGCTGCGATCGCCTAGGTGTGCTCCAAGACGACACATTCCCGCTGGAGCAACAAGAGCTAGCAGCGTTTTCAAACAGTTTGCAGCTCAATGGGCAACAGATGTGGAGCGTGCACACATGCAAGAGATACCCTCCCAAAGATTTGCCAGGAAAACAAGAGACTACTGATCCGAGCCCTGCACGCTCTAGCACTTTCTCTCGGTTTCTGCAACGTGATCTGGGGTTGCATAGACTGTATAGAGCTGCTACCAGGATCTGTAGAACCATGCAACAGGCAAGCTACCTTTGGGACAACTGCTCCTTCAGGTTTCCCCAACGTTCTTCCCAAAGTTCTGCTGCGGCAGATTTGCTGGGCCATCGCAGAATCATCGCAGAATCATTCGTGCTCCACGCATGCCACTACGGTTGGTCACAAGACTGCCGTCATGCTGCCAACATTTGATCCCAGTGATACTTTCCGAAAAATCTCTCCTCTCAAGTTGGGCTCGGGAAAAACATTGCACTCGAGTGCTCTCCCTCAGGTTTCTGCCCTAGCGAACAGAACCGTGTAAAACACGCAACATCAAGCACAAGTCGTTTCGACCTGCCTCCACGCTTACCGATCAACATGGAGTTATTACACCCTGTGCCCCAGCACCCGGAGACGTGCACATCAAAACTGCACCAAGAACGTGTCTGTGGTAGTTTCCAGTTGAACCCGACCAAGAACGTGATCTGTTCCAGTTGAACCCCAGGGTTCAAAAGGCAGCTAGTGGCACCGACGATACAACGGCAAGACTGCGCAATCAGACTGAAACAAGCATGTAGCCTCCGGCCACGGCAAAGCGCAAGTGCAAGTTTACGTGTTGTATGTAGATAGGGCCAGGGCAAGCAATTCCTTGCTCAAGCATGCGTCTCTTCTTCTGCACCTTTGCTTTGTGCTTGTTCTTGCGGTGGGCAGGTCCAGAAAATGCTTTCAAGAAATTCCGTCTTGAACATGTCGACGGGCAACGAAACAGCACTGCCGTCGAGGGCATTTTCTGGCGTAACATGTACCAATGTGATCAAGCCCGCTGGTTTCTAACATCACTCGTTCCTGACTCTCGCGGAGCATACTCAGAAGAGTGGTTCCGGTGGGATATCTGCTGTTCTGCCCCGTGGCGTCACTTCGGAAGTCTTGCGCTCCATGTGCCTCGAAGACTTTTAGGCACAAGGTTCTGCTCTGGAGCTCTTGGAAATGCAGAGCTCAGGACTCCCGCCTCGGGTGTAACTGAGCCAGGACTCCCATGTGAGACTTGCGAGGGGAAGTGTCCCACGACAGTCTACTGTACATCTCAGCTCGCTGACCTGTGCAGCTGAGTAGCTTCATCGCTGGGCCCGGAATGCTCTCAACCCGCACACCATGTGGACGAGCGATGACGAGTGCTTAGCTTAGGCGACGGCACACACAGCGCGAAGCGCCTGTTCTTAACCGTATTTCCGACTGGGCTGCATATTGGCGACCGAGGCGGAGAAGTCCATCGTATAACGACGTTCCCGATCCAAGGCCTTGAAACTCAGGCCATGATAAGGCGGCTGCTGCGGCCGGCAAAGCCTCCATCCTGAAAAAAAGGCACGGGGCACTATGGTTGTCTGTGCCCTCACCGAAGCACTAGTGATGATAGCAAGTCCCATGCCAATCCTTCTCTGGACAGTTCAGGGCCCCAAAGGACACCAACACAGTGAGTGAGTGAGTGAGTGAGTG